TAAAAGTAACAACAGCAGCCTGACAGTTTTTGTTGTTGCTGGTTGTATAAAGCTGTTGTTTTGTTGTAATACCATGTGGCATCTGTGCTAAATGGTGTTAAAATTATCAGAAAGTCCTTGCCATATCACTGGACACAAAAACTGTTTCTGTGATAGAGACCTCAGGAACTGCGGTGATGTTAGCTTGGGTCATGCCAGCACCACCCTAAGCTCCTGAAAGCACATTACAATGAGGGTTAGTCCTAGCCACAACTAAAACACTGAGATTTTTCCAGGCCAAAGCATTTTCAGGGACTAAATGGTCAGTAGTGGCTGAATCCAGGACTGTTCTGAGACCAAGAGACGGAGCTGTCTCTAGTGCTATGATGTCATGGGGACATTTTGGTCCTGCCTTGCTCTACATAAAGTTTTTAAAATTTTATTTATTCTAATTAGTTACATATGACAGCAGAATGCAATTCAATTTATATAACACAAATAGAGCACAATTTTTCATGTCTTTGGTTGAACACAATGTAGAGTCACACTATTCATGTTTTCATACATGTAATGATGTCCGTCTCATTCCACTGTCCTTTTACTCCCATACCCTCCTTCCCTCCCACCCCCTTTTCCCTATCTAAAGTTCATCTATTCCTCCCATGCTCTCCTCCTCAATCCCCATTATGAATCAGCATCTTGATATCTGAGAAGACATTCAGCATTTGGTTTTTTGAGATTGGCTTACTTCATTTAGCATTATATTCTCCAACTCCATTCATTTGCCTGCAAATGTCATGATTTTATTCTCTTTTAATGCTGAGTAATATTCCATTGTGTATATATACCATATTTTCTTTACCCAGTCATTTACTGAAGGGTATACTTACAAGAGTACCTTTAGTTACAGATGGATCTTTGAACCAACATCTTAGAAATTAGGGTTAGAAAAAGCCTGTCTGCAAAAATGACACTATAGTTCTAGCAAAACCTCTGTGGTTAACAATTAGATGACTTTTATTAAGTGCACATGTGCCAATAGCTGAACTAAGTTGTTTCCTTAAAAATGTATCACAATTTCTTTTGCCCCCCCTTCCTACTAATATAGTACTTTTTAAGTTTTAATTGCTTCATAATATTTGTGTGTATTTATAGGATACAGTGTGATGCCAAATTAATTAGATAGAAGGAGTTAGTTCTAGTGTTCCATAAAACCATAGTCTGCAGCAATTTATTATGTTTCACAATAACTGGAAGAGAAGAATAGAAGGTTCCTAATACATAGAAATGATGATTGTTAAAGGAGATGGAAATGCTAATTACACTGATTTGATCATTACACACTATGTACATGTGTCAAACCATACTGTACCCTATAAATACATACAAATACTATGAATCAATTAAAATTTAAAAAGTACTATATTATATGGTAAATACACAAACCAGTAATGTAGTCACTTACATTAATGTAGTCACTTACATACCATTGCCAAGTATTATGTTCTGTACAGAACTGTACACCCTGCACTTTTATACAGTACTTTTTTTTTCACACCAGCATTACCACAGACACTGAGCAACACATGCACAACAATGGGGGAAAAAAGATCATGCACTACATATTTTATTTCATTTAATGCTTACAACAAACTTAGAGACTATGTAATATGATGATAATGGTTTTAAAATTCAGGAAACTGAGGCATGGGTTGAATCAGAAGCCAGGAACTGACCAAGTGAGCCCTCACGTGGTCGAGCAGAGTAGCACTGGGGAAAGATTAGCTTTGCTGTTCATGTCTGCTTCTGCACTATCTTGGCGTCTCACAGGAGAACTAGCACTTTTGGGCTGAAATGTTCTCAGCCATCATAGATGAAAACAGGAAGTGCACTCTTGCACACTCTTTGTATATGAAAGGCAAATGAGATAGTTAGAAGAAAAGAAAGGAATCTTTTAATATCTCTGAAGCAGGATCAATTTTGAGAGTATCATACATGTCTGATAAGCATTTAGAGAAATGCCCAGTCTAGAAGGTTATTGTATGGATGCTGAGGTGCAAGCTCTATCATGAAATTAAGCTGAGTCTCAGAAATATCCAGGCGTATGATTTAGGACTTGACAGACTCTTTTCAGCAAGGCCGCTGGGACCTTACCTAGAAAAATGCTGAATATGCCCAAGTCAGTTTGTGGGGTTGCACGCAACAGATAAAATTGTCACTCTAGTGAGTCCACCTATAAAATTATCTACATAGTTTTAAGAATAGGAGGATTATATTTGGGCAGCATGTAAAGAATAGTGAGTAATTAAAGGAATCCTCACAGCAGCAGCGGGAAAGCTCCTGGCACCCAAAACAGCCACTTCCAGTGTGAGTGGTTCTTTGGTTTCAGTGTTTTAATCACTTCCAAGTAGATGAGGCCTGTGTTGCTCTTAGCAGTGTAAATACAACACATCTACAAACATCTGGATTACTTATAGTTTTATTATTTATAGATTTCTTGAGAGCTTTATAGTGAGGGAGAAAGTGCGACAGAAGCCCCAGTTTCCCTCTTTATAAGGACGATACCTCTTTATAAGGACGATGTGTATCAAGGACACAGCTTACAGAGAGCTTGAGAGCCACATTTTGATTTGCCCAATGAGCCATCTCCTTGTGCACTAACATGTTGACAGTGGCATTGAAGAAATTGTATTCTGCAAGTTAAAATGCACAATATTAACATAAAAACATGTTACTTGAGAAGAATAGCAAAGTTGAGTAGAGGTAACAGAAGGATGCCTTCTAATTAGAAGAAGGATGGGGAGAGCGACTAGGAAAACTTCAGACTTCCTGCGGAGGAAGGATTCCAGAAAGCCATGTGAGAACACTGGGCATGTGGGCGAGGGAAGACGGTGGAAGGACAAGCAGAAGCCTTCTGTTTGGCTTGGTGCTGACCCTGGACAAAAGTGAGTTTCAAGAAACAATGTGCAAAGGAAGATTAGTACACAGACAAAAATTGTGCACAGATAAAATCATGCAAATAGAGGACTGGAAGGGGAGAGAGTAGACGGGAAGTAAAAAGAAGGGAAGGTAGCATTGAAAATCCCCTATGTCTGGGCATTTAAAAGAACCTGTGCTGCCACAACTTATTCCCTCTGTGGTTGTATGTCAGATGAAGTGCTTACCTGAATTTTCATAGATGAGAAAAATAATCCATCTAGTAAATACTAGAACCAGTCTCAGTGCATTAAGATGTATCTGTGAACAAAGATGGACTGACGGGAGAAACAATTAACATAAAGAAAAGATAAAAACCTGGCATGTACCTCTTGCCCCAGGCTCAGTCCAGGTGATATGTCTTCTAACAGGAATGAAGAGTCTGCTGTCCTGTTTAAATTGATAGTCATCTCACAATTCTGAGGCATATCGTTGATGCCTCAAAAATGTAATTGCGTTGCAATGCTGCAATGTAGTATACTTTAACTTCTACTGTTTCCTAATTCCAACCTATTAAATCTTCTTAAAGGAAGTTTTATATGCTTCCATGATTATGTAATGCCTACAAAAAATGAAATTCTGATTCAACTCACTTGTACTGAGTGCCCAGCAGGAAGCAATGTGACATATACTAACATACAGCACTTATGTTGTCCTTATCTGATACTTTGAAGTACGCTTTTAAAAAATATTCTGGGGCTAGCCATGTAGCTCAGTGGTAAAATCCATGCTCAGCATGCATGAGTCCCTGGGTCTGATCCCCAGCACTGAAAAAACAGAAATAATTATAGGTTTACATGAATTTGCAAAAGAGTATTTTTTTTACCAGTTTTCCTCAGTAGTTACATCTTAACATAACAATAATATAGTATCAAAGCCAGGAGGTTGACATTGATACACTGTGATATGATGTGTGTATATAATTCTGTGCAATTTTACCAAATGTGTAGGTAGATTCATGTGCCCACCACCACATTCAAAACACAGGACTGGTCCATCATCACAATGATCTCTTTTTTGCCACCTCTTTCTAGTCATGTTCCCAGATCAGTAAGTACCAACAATCTCTAATGATCTGTTCTACATCTTTAAAATTACATAATTTCAAGAAGATAAGGTAAGTGAAATCAGAATATGCAAAGTTTTGAGACTTGAATTTTGTACTTGGCGTAGTGCCTAGTGGCCCTTGGAAGTTAGAAGCTATTGCATGTAGCTGTGAATTGTCCTTTTATTAATTGAATAATATTCAGGATTTTGAATATATCATCAAATAACATTTTTAGCAGTTTCTAGATTTGGCTATTACAAATAGAGTTGCTATGAACATTTGTGTGCAAGTTTTTTTTTTTGTGATGTGGTTTATAACGAACATTTAAGAGAGATTTAGAGATAAGTGTTCCACAGTAACACTGCTCTCAATCACTTAAACTGGTATCCAAACCCAGATGTTTTTAACTTATCTCTTGTGCTGTTTCCACCACCCCTCATTAAATGAGAATAAATTGTTCTGCAGATAGTGTAGAAAAGAAATGATTATATATTCAATTATTTCTTGATAAAATATTTGGTTGAGAATAATATATGCTCAGTGCCTTGATTGTTTTTTATCAACTTGTTCATTGAACATTCACCTGTTCATTCTCACAAACTATTGTTTAATTAACTATCAGGTACCTGTGCTGAGTGTTGAAGAACAATGACCAACCTACTAGAGATTTTACCAAAACCATGTTTGTGGCATAGAGATAGTTTGCTCTATATTAGTTGGCTTTAATAATTTTGAGCTTTAGTTGGGAAATGTTTGTTCCGAGTTCATGTGAGTGCTCTAATAATATTCAAATGTGTATTCTTAAATTTAAATTGGGTTGCTTTACTTTGCCTTATCTTAGGAAAACAATTGCTGAACATGCATGCACAAATACAAGATCTAATTTTGCAAGATATGCAATTCAGTGCTTCTTCTAAGTAGGGGTGAGGTTCATATGGGGTTTTATTTATTTACCAATAAATAATTGATTCTACTTATTCTCTGTCCCTCCCAATAGCATGAAAAATTAATCAACCGTCCACAGAGTACCAAGAGAATTTCTAAAGATCCTCTAGGTAAGGAATATTTGCTCCATACTTATAGTACTTTTTCTCCTCTCATATTTTATGTATGCATGAATCCTTCTACAAAATAGAATGGAGAAAGTGACTTTTCATTTAATCATTAAGTTTTATCATGTTTAATAAGTGGAATTTTCTTGCAAAGTCATGTACATATAAACCAAAATATCATTCTCAAATATACATGTCATGAAATTTGTACTGAAATCTATAAGAAATATAAATCTTTTTTTATAATTATACACAATAATGTGCATGTATTTTATTTTTTTTATACCTTTATTTATTTATTTTTATGTGGTGCTGTAGATCGAACCCAGGGCCTCACATGTGCAAGGCGAGCACTTTACCGCTGAGCCACAATCCCAGCCCCATAAATCATTTTTATTTAGAAATATAAATTAGATAAGTAACAAATAATTTCTTAATTTGTTAAATAGACAGCTAAAATTCATTCTGAAATTTTGACCATTAAATTGTAAATGTTTAAGTGTGGTCAATTCAAACCTACATTTGTGGTAAATAGATTTAAAGAGAAGTATATATTAGTATGAATCTTCAAAGAACATATTTTATATTTGGCTGTGTTTATGCATAATATTCAGGGTTATGTGCAGGAAAGCATGTTGGTGTATTATGCTGATGCAAATTTCAGGGTAGAATTGACACCTTTATTCTATTTTAGCCTTTAAAGCAATTCTTTCTGTGATGTTAATAGCTATTAATGCAATCACTTACTTGTCTTCAAAAGACATCAGTGGGTGGGTTTTCACTACTTTATCAGGCTCACCATGGATAGCACAGAATCCCAATTAGAGGTTACACTTAGGGGTACCAGAAAATGTGTAGACTTTACTGAACTTCATTAGAATAGAACAGGAATTAATTTTAATATTACAATATACTATCTCAGGAACAATACAGCTGCTTTAAAAAAGAAGGAAAATGATATAGAAAAAAAACAATAATAACAATATCAATAGATGAAAGCTTGGCAAGTTCATTATTGGTCACTTTTAAAGAAATTGATATTCAAATAAAAGCATAATTACTGCTCCTGTCAATAATCACTGGGTAGCATAAGAATACAATGATTCTTCTTATGTGTGCTATGAAGTCCTGAGCTGCTATCAATGTCATCAAAGCTTCTATAGGAAGGTTGGTGGTAGATAAGGCTAGATATTTTCAGTACGATAAAACTATTAAAAGTTTAAATGCCAAGTTTAGAAGTTTAGACAATAGGATAATAAATCTTTCAAAGATTTATTAATAGGGGACTAACAAGATCAGATTGGATGCAGAATGGTTGTGCAGAAGTTGTGTGCAGAGGACAAAGTGAGTCAAAACTGATAGCAAGGATATAAATTAGAATGTTGTACTCCATCCAGCAAAGACAGATAGGGCATTGTGGTCATCAGTTCTCATCTCTGTGACAATATGCCTGAGTTAATTAACTTAAAAAGAGGAAAGGCTCATTTTGACTCACAATTACAGAGGTTGTAGTCCATGGTGAATTGGTCCATTGCTTTCTGTTTGTGGTGATATAGTACATCATGGCACATGGTGGAAGATACCTGTTCACCTCATGATAGCCAGGAAGCAAGTAAGAAGGTACCAGGATCCCAATTTCCAATTCACTGGTAGAGATTTTGAGAAAAATGAATATTGCAAAGACTATTCTAGGATTTAGGAAAACAAAGTTAAAGATGAAGAGATAACAGTTCTGGGATTTCACCTAGAAGCTATGGTCAAGTAAGTAAGAATTGATGAATTCATTGAGTAAAGAGAACAGAAATAGAAGAGGCCTGAGGTAGGAAGCAGTAATTTAGCAGCATCAGGAGGATGAGTTAGACAAGGGCGAGAGAAGGAACAGTAGATCTTGGGGAGAACATGAAATCCAAGGAAAGAAGTTAAATGTTTTGTGGAAGTCTAAGAAGATGCAGGCCAAGATTCACTTGCTGCAAGTAGTAATTAAGAATTCTCTAGGAAGGTTTGAATAAAGGCCGAAATAGCAGTTTTTATAAAGGTCATAGAATCCCTAAAGCAAGCATGTAAGTGCTTAGTAGATAGTGAGGAACTTGAGGCCTCATGGCACATTAGATATTAAAAGATTTTTATGGTTAAAAAAAGAAAAGGGAAGAGATAGCACAGTGGCTTGATGTTATAGTATAAGGGAACTAGATGACCTGAGCATGTTTATAAGAACCATGGAAGGACCCACAGTGAGGAGGAGATTGAGGGACAGATGTAAAGGGAAAATATTGGATGAAAAATGCAGGGTGGGATGGAGTCCAGCAAACACAGAGGGAGATTTTGTAAGAAAGTACTTTGGGAATGAAAACAAGGTTATAAGAACTCAAGCAGAATGGCTTTGTGTAAAGTGGGAAAAACAGATTGGGGCTGGGTGAAACAGGAGAGTGAGACAGGAGAAAGATTTTGGTTTTTGCTATGGAAATTTTTAAATTGTGATTAGAAAAAAGTTAAATGGATTTGTGAGTGCTAAGGGCTCAATAGAATAAAATAGCATAGTGTTTAGTAGGCACAACAACATATTTTCATAACTGGGTAGCTGGAGTATTTCAGCTACTGCTGATGATCAACCTTCAAAACAGAGGCCATTTGGGGACACTCAATATCCCCCAACCTGCATGATTAGAGTTGACAAATTGACAATAATGATAATAAGGCTAAGGTGGATAACATATTTTAAGTTGGATGCATGACCATATTTGATGTATATAACTGATCTTTAGGAGCAGCACTGGCAGAGGTATGTAAGACCCTGCAGGGGCGATTGAATGACAGGAGGGATTGCTCTGTTAGTGATGGGGACAGAGAACATTATGCAGAAGCAGAGGAATAGAAGCTGTGGGAGTTTAGCGGGTAGTAGTCAGTAGTAATATAGAGAAGCTGAGGCCATGAAGGAGGCATAATTCTGGCTGATGATGAAATGTGAAGAATAACTCTGAAAGTCAATTTCTAATTTGAAGTCACAGGACAGGTCACTGGAGTTAATAAGATTAAGGAACCATGTGGTCAGTAGCGTGAATGATTATCAGTGTTATGGCTGATGGCTGGCGATAGATAATGTGGGTGGGGGAGGAAGGCCCACCTAGGTAGCATAGACATCTAAGTGAATGCATTGCATGATGGTAGCAGAACAATTATTTGAAAACAAACAAAGATATTTTAGCTCCTTCCTTTAAGTATTCATAGATAAGCAACTTTATAGTGTAAAATCAGACCGTAATTTATATGAGGAGGTAGGTGGAAGGGGTAATTAAGTAATAGGGGAAAGACATGGTATTCTTTGCTCATACAAGGCCAGGGAAACTAGTGCATGGGGTGAGCCTGAGAGTAGAAGAAAGTATGCAGGATAGGTGTGATATATGGAAGGGAAAAGATGGATTATGGCTTGTATATGGAAGGGGAGACATAGAGGGGTTCAGGGGATTTACTTAGAGTGATGGCTTTGAATTATGCAATGAAAACCATAGCAATAGCAGATGGAATCATGGATTAGGAAGCAGGCAGGAGTCTCAGGTTAACGGGAAAGATACACAGAGAATATTGGATATATTCAGAGGAGATGTGTTCAAGTGAAAATAGTCCAGAGGTCCAGAGGAAATATTGATGTAATGAACTTTGTTTAGAATGCTCTTCGGGTAGTGAAATTGGTGAGCTGTGTATACACACACATACACACACAGTGTGTGTGTGTATGTGTGTGTATGTGTGCACGTATATGTATTTGCATGAATATGTGAGGACCAGCTAGCTTCTGGCATAATTTATTCATCACTTTAATACTAATAAAGATAAATATCTTTTTGAACCTATGAAACATCCTTTGACAAAGTGCTACAAGGCTAGGAATGGCTAGGGACCTCGGCGTCAGCATCCTTAGAAGCCTGTTGAAGATGCCATGTTTTGCCCCATGCTAGTCCTACTCAATTAACTGTGGGCTGGAAACCAAAGAAACATTTTAACAAGCCCTTCTGGTTCTCAGGTACATTAAAATTTGAGGAGCATTTCTAGTCCTTTACCATAGCTAGCAAGCTCAGATGATGACCTCAGCATTGGCAGGAATTCTAAAGCTCTCAACTGTCCACCTGGGTGGTCCCACATTTCTCTGCTGCTCAGAAGCCAAACCAGAGGGCTATTATATTCCCGTGAGCAGGTGTGAAGGGTGGGATTAGCACATCCCTCAAGCAAGCTTCCTAACACTGGGTGTTCTGTGTGTGCCTCCAGAAGCCCTTTGGGATAACTTGTTCCACTGGCTGGCAGAGGAACTCTCAGAAGAAAACGCTGAGGTCCTTACCTCGTCCCTTCCTCTGCGCCGCAGCACCATTCAGCTCATCAAACTCAAGCACCCTGATGACCTCACGGAGCAGATCCATGAACTTCTTTGCTTCTGGAAAAAATCTCTCCCAACTTCCACTGACAAAGTTCGCCTCCTAGCTCGTCACCTTCGCAAGATGGGCAGGAGTGATCTTGCAGGAGAGTTCAAGTTCAAGTGGGAAAATAAAGTGTTCACTGAACCCCAACAGTGGTTTGATATGGAACCTGAGTAAGAGCTGGTGACTCATCCTTTTGCCCTAGAAAAAGCCTCATGGTTTTAAAGACTGTTTCTGTCAACGTTTACTGAGAATTTTTCAAATGACATTGTTTGAAATAGGTTTGTTTGATAGACTTGTAACTGAGAAATCAATTGAAACAATGGAGAAATATTAACAGACAATAAGACATTCCTGGTTCTGCGGGCTTCTTCACTGTGAGTGACATGTTTTCTGCAACTCTGAAAGTCTTGGGTTTGGCCAAACTTCATAGCTACTTTCAGAGTTGCAGAAAACATATTTACTTTCATAGGCAGATACACACATGCACACATCTTCAATAGAGTTGGTCCTATTTATATTTTCATAGCCAAGGCTGCTTGCTATGTACACACGAAAGATATTACTACAAAATCACTATTTAAAAATTGTTATCTATGGAAAATTAAATGTGTTTCCCTTGACTCCAAGCAACCAAATCAAGTTACAGAGATACCTTGGGACCCACAGGTAACAATACAAAATAAGTGGGGCTGATGTTAGTAATAGCAAGTCACTTTTAGAAAGCAGAAAAACTTGTAATAAATTAAAAATAGAAAAATTCTTTAACTATTGACTGCCACAAGCTTCTCTTAAAAATATGTAGCTTAGAATGGGGAAATATTCTTATCTTATTATTAGTGAAATGAGGCAGTGCAGAAAAAAATGAAGTATAAGTAAAAGAATTCAGGGCCTATTTTACCTACTTAAAAAAAAAATCTTAGTTAACAGAAACCTAATAGCACAGGCCAATATGGTGTTGGCTTGAAAACACCAGAGGCAATTAGTTTCAATTATTGACACCTAGAAATTAACAAAATCACATTAAAAAATTAAACATTGATGTTTCTCAAGTTTAAAGACAAATTTTCTTATAATCAGGGACTTGGGTATATCCATGGCTATATGTTGAAAAAGGAGATTCCAATTTCCAAACATATTCCTAAGAAGGAACATTTTATTAATCTAGATTTGTTTTGTTTTTAATTTTTTTACATTACCAAAAAGGCACTAAAGGTATTTTCTCATGTGTTCTGGAATGAAGACTAAGAGCCTTAAAGTATTCATTGTTTTATAAATAAGGAAATAAATGAATTTGCCTCTTATTTTGCTATTAGAGATTACTATTATGAATATTTTCTTGTGGTTTTTATTTTTTCTTAGAAGGAGATGTTTGTATTTCTATGGCTATCGATGTATACAAGCACATTTCCACATGAGCTCACGTACATGTGTACACCCTAGTATGTACACATCTCCTGATACACATTATCTCATGGTCACATCCTTCTTACTCATATGCATCTTAGTTTCCTCATGTGCACACTCTGACACACACACACACACACCTCCACACATCTGCCTCAGACACACATGCTTATTATTTACTACACAGCCTCATGTCCACCTGTGCATCTCATGTACATGCAGACACTGTCATTAACACGTCTCCCATATACACTATCATGTGTCACACAAATACACTTACATACATAATCACACACACACACTGAACACAGATCCACCTGCTTAACCTCATATACATTTTCACATTCTCTCTCACATGTAGTTCTCTCCCACACCTCACACAGAATATACTCATCACCATGCCCACCCCCAGGTAGATACCCACAAATACACTGTATCACTTTCCACGTACACCTTCACCTTCACACATTCTCACAAATATACCCCATCACACACACTCTGCTCCCACCCATCTTTCTCTCCCACATATACTCACTCATATAACTCCCATATTTACTTTCATAGGCAGATACACACATGAACACATCTTCACACACACAGACACATTTATTTCCCAGAATTAATAATTTGCACATATTATTATAATAGAAAGACAAAACAAAGGTATCAAAAGAAAAAAAAATGATCTTCTCTTCAGTGTATCATATCTTTAGATAATCCTGGATTCAGTCTGATGTGGTGACATGTGCTGTTTTTCCTGTGTTGGGAAACTACCCCTGAACACCCTCACAGCCATACCCTGCCCCTCCCCAGCCTGTGCACCTGATCTGTCCCGTGGGCTGGTGTGTATGGATCACATCAGTGATGATGCTCCAGGCTTCTCATTGGGTTTGGCTAATGGGGAGCTGTAGCAAGAGAATGATGGCTAGGCTGTGTCCCTCATCCCACAGTCCCTTCTTCTCTGGAAGAGGCCCCTTCAGACCACTCTCTTCTGGAATTCTCTCTTCTGGAATGGGTCCTGGTAACTGGTTTTCCTCTTATCTCTTTAGCTGTAGGTGTAGCCCAGCTGTCTTGCTCAGAATAACTGGGTGCTCCCTGTGGTTCCCTTGTGTCCTTTCTTCCCCTTTTAAAATAAACTTTCCTTTGATTTTCTAGTGTCAGTGTATTGTATGTTTCTCATTGAGAGCCTGACTGATAACACCTCTGCACTCCTTATACAGAGATAAGCAACTTATACATGCATATTGTCTGAGAGTGGGATTCATTTATTACATATACAATTTTATACATTACTGTTTTATTCAATTATAAGCATTTTAATGTCTTTAGGTGTTTTAATAGCTGAATAATAGTCCATTACATAGTCATATGATTAATTTTTAGTATTACACATTTTTGAAAATGTTTAAGGAATGATGCAATAGATTCTCTGTTATTCCTGACATTTTAATCAACTTTATGTTGTTAAAATTAAATCATGCTACATGTGTGGCAATGATTTCCTCATTCTCATTATTGTATAATATTCCAGCATGTTCAAGTACTAAATGTCACAAATTTATTACACTGCAGATAGACATTTGAATAGATTTGAATTGGGGGCTACCATAAATAGGGATGTTAGTAATGTTCTTTACATACCTTTTAACAAACTAAATATTCATTTCTTTCAGGTATATTCCAAGAATGGAATGATAGTTTACCATAATAAATTTAACCTTGTTGTCCATTCAGAGCCACTTAGCAATTAATCCTGGGTCATTATTATTGAAATTCCTGTTTTAAACCAGAAGGGTAAGAATGATCTACCACTTACAGCCAATCTTTGCATCTTGAATCACCAATTTCACTGACAAAACCTCATCATTATGCCAATTATTAAGCACCCAATTTTATAAATAATATAGTTCTAACATTTATTATCTAAATTAACAAAACCTAGTGTTCATGACAGTCATTGTGATTAAATATTATGTTTGGAGTATTAATTCTTGGTTAGAGCAATTGACTATTTTAAAAATGTAGCTTAAATGAAAACATATATAATGTCAGATTATATTTTCTGATGTATTTTAAAGATATAGAGACAGCTTAAAAATTGAGATAGGTATGCTTTGAGAACATAATAATTCAGTTTTCAAAATAGCTAAATTTCATGGGAAAAATTCTGTTTTTGTAACCCAGTATTTTTTTAGTGGGGTTATTGGCATTTTTGAATGCAACTTTTTTGTTTGTTTGTTTTTAACTTGAACTGGTTCATGAATTGCTGGCCATTCAACATCCCCTAACATGTGCCAACCAAATGCTCAAGGTACTCCCTACTCCCTCACCTTAGCAAGTACCACAAGCAAAATTCCTCACATACTGTTCTGCTCACTATTCCGCTCACCGGGAGGGTAGGGGTAGGGGTGGGGACAAAGGGAGAGTGTGGGGAACAACTATTTTAATCAACTTTTGGCTTGAAGTGGGGCATGAAAACAGATGGGAAAAGGAAGCTAAGGAAATCTAGAACATTAGAGTCCAGAAGGGGTCTAACTCAAACACTGGAACTGCTACCTGTGTTTAGGAGGAATGTTAACTGCTGATTGCTGACTTGCTCAGAAGGATTGTCAGTGAGGAGTCTGGAGCTGAGCTATAGAATGAGCAGCTTAATTTACAAAGGCAGGCTTCCATAGAAGGGTAGAAGTGCAGGGGAAGAGGAAAATACTGAGTGAGGTCAAAATCATGGCTGAGCTTGCTGGGGGATTCCCTTGTTGCTTTGTGATCTTTAATTCACCACATCTCCCAGTCTGCTCACTGGCAATCACCCACTTATTATCTAATATATTAAAGATTTACTTACTTATTACGGTTATTATTTATTTTCTGCAAATAAGTACCCACTTCAATGCACATATGCAGGATCAGGGTGCTTGTCTTTTTTGCTTCTTGATGTATTTCCTGTAACTCTGTCAGGCAGTCAAAAAATGTTTTCTTATTTTTATCTTTTAAGTGAGAAACTGCAACTTGGAGTTACAGTGATAGTCAGTGGTACAACCAAGGTTATAACTCAGATTATTTTATTCTCAAAGGTTTTTGATTGTTTTTAAAAAATTTACTGTTATTTTTATTTTTTCCTTTTAGTTATACATGACAATAGAATGTATTTTGATATCAGATACACATGAAGTATAACTTCCCATTCTCTTAGTTGTACATGATATGGAGTTACTGGTCGTGTATTCACATATGAACATAGAAAAGTTATATGTGAAAATCATTGTACTGTCTTTCCCATTCCCACTCCCCCTCTCTCCTCCATTTCCCGCTGTCTAATCTGGTGAACTTCCACTCCCCTCCCCACCCCACACCTCGACCTATTGTGAGTCAGCATCCACATGTCAGAGAGAACATTCAGCCTTTGTTTTGGGGGGATTGGCTTGTTTCACTTAGCATTATAGGCTCCAGTTCCATCCATTCACTGGCAAATGCCATAATTTCGTTCTCCTTTATGGCTGAGTAACATTCCATTGTATGTATACCATATTTTCTTTTTCTTTTTTAAACATTTATTTTTTAGTTGTAGGTAGACATAATACCTTTATTTTATTTTATTGTTATGTAGTGCTAAGGATTGAACCCAGTGCCTCACACATGCTAGGCAAGTGCTCTACCTCTGAGCCACAACCGCAGTCCAATACCACATTTTCTTTATCCATTCATCTGTTGAAGGGTACCTAGGTTGGTTCTATAGCTGAGCTCTTGTGAATTGAGCTGCTATGAATATTGATGTGGCAATGTCACTGTGGTATGCTACTTTTAAGTCCTTTGGGGATATGCCAAGGAGTGGAATTATTCATAGAATAATTTGAGGAGTATTGGTATGTTCTTCTTTGAAGGTCTTGTAGAACTTGGCTGAGGATCCATGTGGTCCTAGACTTTTCTTTGTTGGTAGGCTTTTGATGGCATCTTGAATTTCATTGATTGTAATTGATCTTTTTAAATTTTCTGTTTTCCTCTTTCAGTTTGGGTAGGTCATGTTTCTCTAGATATTTGTTGATGTCATGATTCTCTATGCAGCATGCCTTTCAGTTCAGTCAGGCAATGTCCTTGATCCCTAAATGTTCCATACCTAGATACACCTCAGGCCTCCAAAAAGTATGGGTTCCTTCAATTCCCTATCCCTCCACTTTGCTTGCAGAGGGATGGCTCTGACTGGTACTTCTAGCCTGGCCTTGGCTGCAGCTCTGACACTGGAGATTTCTTCCTTATTTTATTATATCCAACCTCCTGAATCCCTGATCTGCTTTGAATGTCCAGTTTTAAATTCCAGTAAAGTCCTCCCTCTTTTTGTTATTCATCCACCTTGCTGAGAAGCTGCCTGTCTGCTTTCTTGATTTCATGCCACAGAGCAGCCAGGAAAGATACCTCCTCTGATCTGCCAACTTGAAAACCCTCAAAGTCTTTTTCTTCTGTTGCCATCTTTCTATCCCTTGCCTACCCCCAGTCCAAACCCCCTCACCAGTCTTTTATTTCTTTCTCTGTTCAAATATTTAAATTAAAAAAATATATATTTTTAGTTGTAGTTGAACACAATACCTTTATTTTATTTATTTATTTTTATATGGTGATGAGGATCGTATCCAGGGCTTGGCACATGTTAGGTGAGCGCTCTACCACTGAGTCATACCCCCAGCCCTCTGGGATTTTTTTCAGGTTGCTGAATTCTTAGGATTGGATTTATTGTCCATGACATCTTATTTTTTTAGTCCAGTTATAATATTTCTCTAAACTGTTATGTCAACTTACCTGTTTTTCTCCAACCAGTTTGTACGTTCCTTGAGGACAGTGCCTTGAGTTTTGTCCATCAGTGAATTTCCAACACCTTGCACAGGGCCTACCACACAGTAGATGATAATTCTTTGTTGAATTAATGCACAAGTTACATCTACACACTCTTTCACTTTTCCTGTGTCATTGTTCTTCTGGAAGCAGGCCTGTGGGGGCAGATGTCATGCATGAAAGGGCAAAAAGTTAGCTCAGATTGTAAAAATCTGCCATGCCATTCATCAAGCCAGAATAACAGACTTAGATAACACCAGCTGCAAAGTTAATAGAAGTCAATATTTCCTCCAAGAACACACTGTAGCAGTAAAGTGTGCCCTTCTTTGAGTAACTGCTTTTGTTCATACTGAAAAACTTTATCATCAAAATGACTTTCACAAATGTTGCTGTTTGGAAGAAATATCCCTTTCTTGCCTTCAGAGTATCACAGTCACTTTGACACAGAAATGAATTCTTGATTTAAAAACCAGGTGCAGAGCTTCAGATAAAGAATTTCTGGATACAACATTGCACAAGTATCTCAACATTAATGTTTCCAAAGAAATGGGACTGTGGATCCCTTCCCACTGCCGACCTAACATTGACCCCTTTATACCAGCTCTGCTTTGCTTTGAGCCTGTGGAGACACTAAACTCCACCCTAGTTAGTACTATATTCCAAAATAAGCCTTTGCCTTTGTTTAATGACACAACCACCATTCTCCTAGTATACAGTTGGGCTTACTGCAATGAGTCAAAAACTCAATTTTTAAAAAAATTTTGGGTGTGTCCCTTTTGGTCCTTCCTTGAATGAGACACTCATGTTATCCTCTGGTGGGTGTTTTGCCCAGTGGTTCTCAAATTCATGGCATATTAGAATCAGCAGGAGATGCCTGGACATAATCCGGGAAAATCAAAATGAATCAGTCTGGGTTGAGGCCCTGGAATCAGAATTACAAAGCTGCCTAAATGCAGCCAGGATCAGGAATGATTTTCTCTGGTCATGCGGACAAAGAGCAATGTGGAATAGGTACTAAAATTCAGTTTCTCAGGATCCAAACTCTACCCTCCACATCAGAAGCTTTGGCTGTAGACCTGAGGAGTCTGCATGGTCAGTGACTATCTCAGGGAAGCTAAAAAAGGACATTGTTGACTGTATTTTACTTTCTGTCCAGAGCACACTCTCATCTCTCTCTCTTTCTCTTCTTTCTTTTTTATGATTAGCCCTAGACCAAAACTAGCAGGAGAGAAGAAAGTGATGCACAGAAAACTGTGTGTCATGTTGAATACAAAGGCTTTTCTTTGAGAGTCATCATTTGTGATGATTTATCTATTCTCGAGAATAA